CTGTGTTAAAATGCCCAGACAAAATGACCTCCAAAAATCTCTAGATTGCAAAAATCGCCAAACCGGAAGTGACGTCATCAAAATAAAGAAGTATATATCTAGATTTTTAATTCTCTAACAGTTCTGAAAGTTTTTTGAGAATTCGCGTGCACAAAATCAGTAGGAAAAAAACCCAATAAAAATGGTGGAAAAGAAACCTAAGAATAACAGTAAGGTCTTCCGCTGAAGTCGGAAGACCTTAACAAGATGCGATCTTGTTGTGAGCAACGAGTGGGTCTTCCGTCCGATTTTCGATAAGATGAGATAAGAATTTGACTGAGATTTTCGTTTAAAAATATTGATAGAAATAAATTGTTATGACAAACAATTTTGCTTCAGTAATGTGTAACAAAATATTGATCATTGAAAAGTTACAGATTAAAGACTTTCTGCCCATCTTGGCCACTTATATGAGTAGTCAGCCCCTTTTTCTTGATATCATCTTAAAGCTTTCATGATTTTGAACACGCTTTGTTCAACAACTATTCAGAAATTCTATTTCGTGTCCAAGATATATGCAAAAGAAATATTAAGGGCCGGCCCTTCAAGTCCTAAATGGGGACGTCTTGCAAAAATTGAAAGAGTGCATATTATTAAGAATATTATTTTGAAGGTCTTTTGTACATTGTTTATCAAAATATTCTTCCTTTTCAAGATATATTGCGCCAAAGATTATGCAATCTGACCCCTTAATTTCTTCCCTTATTGCATAAGAAATGATGTAGACATCATGATATATAGTTAAAGAGTGCGAAGATTAACTATTTTGCTTCAGTAATATATTACAAAATATTGATCATTAAAGAGATATTGATTAAATACTTTCAGCCCGTCTCGGCCCCTATTTTAAGGGATCAGACCCTTTTCCTTGATATCACCTTAAAGCTCTCATGATTTTGAACACTTTTTGTTCAACAATTATTCAGAAATTTCTTTTGCGTTTCTGAGGTACATGCGAAGGATATATTTGAGGGCTGGCCCTTCAACTCCTTAATGGGGACATTTAGCAAAAATCGAAAGGTTACATACTGTTCAAAACATTATTTTGAACATCTTTTTTTCAATATTGCTTATCAAAACATTTCCCACTTACAAGATATAGAGTGCCAAAGATTTGGCATTTTGGCCCCTTATGGCCCCTAATTATGTAACATGTGATGTGAATAATATTATAATATATAGTTGAAAATTGTTGAGATAAACATTTTTGCTTCAGTAATGAATTTACAAAATATTGATCGTATTGAGGAGTCAGACCCCTTTTCTGCATACCACTTTAAAGCTCTCATAATTTTGAACACTTTTTGTTCAACAACTATTCAGAAATTCTTTCTCGTTTCCGAGATAATTACAAAAGAAGTATTTAGGGACCGGCCCTTCAACTCCTTAATGGAGAGGTTTTCCAAAAACTGAAAGGTTGCATATTGTTCAGAACATTATTCAGAACATCTTTTCAATATTGCTTATCAAAATATTTCCAAACTGTCAAGATATAAAGCATCAAAGATTTAGTATTCTGGCCCTCTGTGGCCCCTATTTATGTAACATATGATGTAAAAATAAATCATAATATATAGTTGTAGATAATTGAGATAAACATTTTTGTTTTAGTAATGTATAACAAAATATTGATTGTTAAAGGGTTATCGATTAAAGACTTTTGGCCCATCTCAGCCCCTAATTTGAGTGCCCAGCCCCTTTTTCTTGATTTCACCTTAAAGCTCTCAGGTTTTTGAACACTTTTTGTTCAACAATTATTCAGATATTCTTCTTCGTTTCCGAGATATTTGCAAAAGAAATATTTAGGGGCCAACCCTTCAACTCTTTAATGGGGACGTTTAGCAAAAATCGAAAAGTTGCATATTGTTAAGAACATTATTTTGAACATCTTTTGTTGAATATTACTTATCAAAATATTTCCCACTTTCGAGATTTAAAGCGTCAAAGATTTAGCATTCTGGCCCCTTGTGGCCCCTATTTATGTAACATATGATGTAAAAATCATAATACATAGTTGTAGATTTTTGAGATAAACATTTTTGTTTCAGTAATGTATAACAAAATATTGATTGTTAAAGAGTTATCGATTAAAGACTTTTGGCCCATCTCAGCCCCTAATTTGAATGCCCAGCCCCTTTTTCTTGATTTCAACTTAAAGCTCTCAGGTTTTTGAACACTTTTTGTTCAACAATTATTCAGAGATTCTTCTTCTTTTTCGAGATATTTGCAAAAGAAATATTTAGGGGCCTACCCTTCAACTCCTTAATGGGGATGTTTAGCAAAAATTGAAAAGTTGCATATTGTTAAGAACATTATTTTGAACATCTTTTGTTGAATATTACTTATCAAAATATTTCCCACTTTCAAGATTTAAAGCATCAAAGATTTAGCATTCTGGCCCCTTGTGGCCCCTATTTATGTAACATATGATGTAAAAATCATAATACATAGTTGTAGATTTTTGAGATAAACATTTTGTTTCAGTAATGTATAACAAAATATTGATTGTTAAAGAGTTATCGATTAAAGACTTTTGGTCCCTCTCGGCCCCTAATTTGAGTGCCCAGCCCCTTTTTCTTGATTTCAACTTAAAGCTCTCAGGTTTTTGAACACTTTTTGTTCAACATTTATTCAGAGATTCTTTTTAGTTTCCGAGATATTTGCAGAAGAAATATTTAGGGGCCTACCCTTCAACTCCTTAATGGGGATGTTTAGCAAAAATTGAAAAGTTGCATATTGTTAAGAACATTATTTTGAACATCTTTTGTTGAATATTACTTATCAAAATATTTCCCACTTTCAAGATTTAAAGCATCAAAGATTTAGCATTCTGGCCCCTTGTGGCCCCTATTTATGTAACATATGATGTAAAAATCATAATACATAGTTGTAGATTTTTGAGATAAACATTTTTGTTTCAGTAATGTATAACAAAATATTGATTGTTAAAGAGTTATCGATTAAAGACTTTTGGTCCCTCTCGGCCCCTAATTTGAGTGCCCAGCCCCTTTTTCTTGATTTCAACTTAAAGCTCTCAGGTTTTTGAACACTTTTTGTTCAACATTTATTCAGAGATTCTTTTTAGTTTCCGAGATATTTGCAGAAGAAATATTTAGGGGCCTACCCTTCAACTCCTTAATGGGGATGTTTAGCAAAAATTGAAAAGTTGCATATTGTTAAGAACATTATTTTGAACATCTTTTGTTGAATATTACTTATCAAAATATTTCCCACTTTCAAGATTTAAAGCATCAAAGATTTAGCATTCTGGCCCCTTGTGGCCCCTATTTATGTAACATATGATGTAAAAATCATAATACATAGTTGTAGATTTTTGAGATAAACATTTTTGTTTCAGTAATGTATAACAAAATATTGATTGTTAAAGAGTTATCGATTAAAGACTTTTGGTCCCTCTCGGCCCCTAATTTGAGTGCCCAGCCCCTTTTTCTTGATTTCAACTTAAAGCTCTCAGGTTTTTGAACACTTTTTGTTCAACATTTATTCAGAGATTCTTTTTAGTTTCCGAGATATTTGCAGAAGAAATATTTAGGGGCCGGCCCTTCAACTCCTTAATGGCCATAGCAGTAGCTCTTTGAGCCGTTGGCTCAGAAGAGCTTAAAAGTAGTGTGAAAGCCCTGAATTTGGGTCTACTTAAATAAGGGTTTTTTTTTCCTTTAAACCACGATTCGATTACCAAGACTGTCTATCATAAACTTTCAATCATAGATAAATTAATCATTTTTTAAAAAATGCCTGCATGGTACAGCTCTCCACTAGCAAGTCATGGCCTCTCGATATGAGTGAAAAATTCTCAAAGGGACGTGAAATATTTAACAAACACATATAAACACATAAAACAACAGAAATAAACAACTGGTGCAAAACAATATGGAATGCCAAATTAACATATATTCAAATATTTGTACCTATCTTCAAATAATTGTACCTATCTTCAAATAATTGTACCTATCTTCAAATGAACTGAAGATAGGTACAATTGAATTAAAGATAGGTACAATTGAATTGAAGATAGGTGTAAATAATTATACCTATCTCTAAATTATTATACCTAGGTACTAATAAATTATACCTATCTTTAATGGAATTACACCTATCTTCAATTCAGTTAAAGATAGGTTCAATTGAATTATACCTATCTCTAATTCATTTGAAGATAGGTATAATTGATTTAAAGATAGGTACAATTGATTTGAAGATAGGTACAATTGATTTGAAGATAGGTACAATTAGAACATATCCACAAAGGATTTGAAGATAGGTACAATTCAAATATACCTATGTTCAATTCGTTTTGTGTTATTGAAAATAATGAACGCTCCCTATGAGACAATATTGAACATGGAGGGAAACGCACAGAGCATACAGACCGACGACAACGAGGATGAAAGGAGAAATAAAGGTATGTTAAAATGTGCAAAAAGCATCATATACTTGTTAAAATACACATGTATGTCAATAAGTGAGCGAAAAAATATATATACTTGAGTACCCCGAAAGTGTTGTAGATCGGTAGACGTAACGGAAATGACGTATAATGAAGGGAGTAGTTATTATTGCCAATATCTTAGTAATTAAAGATAGGTTCAATTCAATTGTACCTATCTTTAAATCAATTATACCTATCTTCAATTCATTGCATTTGTACCTATCTTCAAATCAATTGTATCTATCTTCAAATGAATTAAAGATAGGTATAATTGAATTATACCTATCTCTAATTCATTTGAAGATAGGTACAATTGATTTAAAGATAGGTACAATTCATTTGAAGATAGGTACAATTCATTTGAAGATAGGTACAATTATTTGAAGATAGGTACAAATATTTGAATATATGTTAATTTGGCGTTCCATAAAACAATGCATAATTTCTTATCAATGATTTTTACCTAGATTTATTGTTCTGTGTGTGACATGCAGATGAGTGTAAAAATTACCTCTGTTGGAATCTCTGAGTATTCTTTCACTCTTTCTACGGCAACAATATTGGTTTCCAGTTCTGTGGTCATTCTTACAAGCCAGTTGAGAGTTTGTGTGACCTTGGGAAATAAATACAATGTGTCTCAGTATTTCACTCCAAAACCAATCAAAAGGGTCTTTAGGTAGCTCACAGGTTTACATTCAGTCAAAAAAGCTCAGGAGAAAACAAATCCAGAAAGAATTTGATGACAGTACAGGCTGAAGACAGATCCTAGCATTTTTCTTTCCATAAAGAATATATAAGACTGAAATTGTAACAAGCAATTTCAGAGAATTGTGGATCCCCAATTTCAGGATCTTATTGGTTTGATTCAACATTTTTATGCTCTCATAATCAAAGATTCAGTGGCAATTATTTTTTGCCCTGTCCATCTGTCTATCTGTCTGTTGGTCTGTTTGTCTGCAAAAAATTTATCCTTGCCCTTAACTTTTGATTGGTCGGAGCTGTGCCTTTCATATTTCATATATATATTCATTGTGAAAGACCTTTTTTTGGGTACCAATATATTTGACCTTTTAACCTTGACCTTAGCTTTTGACCCACTTTAGCAAACATTTACCAAACTTTAACCTTGGCCAGGGCTTTCATACTTCACCTGTGTATTCTTTGTGACAAACCCTTTCCTTAAGTGTATATATTCTTTACCTTGATTTTGGAGTTTTACGGATTTAAAAAAAAATTCTAACATTGCCCATAATGCTTAAACAGTTAGTACTAAGGCTTTCATATTTCAGAGGTGTATTTTTTGTGATAAATCCTTCCTTTGGATACCAACAATTTTGACCCTTTGACCTTGACCTTGTTGTTTGAACTACTTTAAAAAAAACTTTAACCTTGGGCATATCTTTTGAAAAGTTGGTGCTAGGGCTTTTATTATTTCACACCTATATTTCTTGTGCCAAGACCTTTGTCTGGGTACCAACAATTTTGCCACTTTGTCCTTGACCTTGGAGTTTGACCAAATTTTTAAAGAAAAGACCCATGGGCCACAATGCTCACCTGAGTAATTTTGGCCCTACTTTTCTTCACCAAATTTTCACCCTTGTAATAGGTATTGTGGTCCCACCCTACCCCTGGGGTCATGATTTGCACAATTTAGAATCTACTCTTCCCTACGATGCTTCCACATAAGTTTCAGTTTTTCTGGCCTAGTGGTTCTTGAGAAGAGGATTTTTAAAGATTTTCCCAATATATTTCAACGTAAAACTTTGATTCCCTATTGTGGCCCCATCCTACCCCCGGGGTCATGATTTGAACAATTTTGAATCTACACTACCCCATGATGCCTCCACATAAGTTTAAGCTTTTCTGGCCAAGTGGTTCTTGAGAAGACTTTACAATGACCCCACCTTTTTTTTGTCTTTTCTTGAATATCTCCTCTTGTAAGGGGGCTTGGACCTTTATTTTGATAATTTAAACTCCCCTTCACCCAAGAATGCTTTATACCAACTTTGGTTAAAATTGGCCCAGTGGTTCATGAGAAGAAGTTTAAATGTGAAAAGGTTACAGATGGAGTGACGGACAGATGGACAACAGGTGATCAGAAAAGCTCACTTGAGCTTTCAGCTCAGGTGAGCTAAAAATGTCCATATCTTTTGAATGGTTGGTGCTATGTCTTTCATATTTCAAAAAAGTAAAAAAAAACCTTCCCTTGTATACCAATAATTTTTACCATTTGACCTTGACATTTGACTTACTTTTGAAAAATCTTAACCTTGGTGCTAGGACTTTCATACATCATGGGTATATTTTTTGAGACAAGACCTTTCTTTAGGTACCAACATTTTGATTTCTTGACCTTCGAGTTTGAATTTCATTTGATAAACTTTAACCTTACCATAAGGTGCCATACAGGGGCATCAGTGTTTCATAAACACATCTTGTTTGTTTTGTAGATGTTACAACAGCTTAATATTGTAACATTGAAAGTCAATGGGCTTTGAAGATCCATAAAACTTTTAATCTATCAAGTGCTTAAGGACCTGATGAGCTTTTGTGAGTTATTGCTCCCTCAAATATTTTGAATTTATCCTTATTATAAAGTCAAAAAGTTTTAAATGGTAAGTTGAAAAAAAGAATAATATTAGACCAACTGCAAGTACCATAAATACTTGTCTGTAAATCAGGAGATGTTTGGGAGTTTAATTTTGTTTCAAAACTTTATGTCAAACTTATAAGCGAGTCACAGAAAAAATTGATATTATTTCTGGGAGAATTATAGTAATTTGGTAACAACTCCAGCTATAATCATTTATAAAGGTCCAAACTTAATTTTATCCAGGAAAGGCAGATCTATCTAACATTACCACATGTATAAAACATTTTACAGATTTTAATGATTTTATATTATTGTAAATAAAATGATATATAATTTCGATGACAAACCCCAAAACATACTTTGAACAATTTTTAATATAATTTGTCACTGAGAGTCAAATATAAATAAATGCAAATTTTTTTTAAAAATAAATTTTTAAAGGTTGAAAGACCTCTGTTTTCCTTTTTTTGATAAGATAAACTCATATTTATAAGCTGGTCCCTTCAACTCTTAATGGTGATATATACCAGGGTATGGATATTTATGGCATGTCAATCTTGTCAAAAGTATTTTCTGCACAACGATCGCGATTTTATACACAAGCATGATGAAAAATATTCATGAGTAAAATAAAATTGCACATGTAGGTAAAAATTGCAAATAGCTTGAAGGATTTTTACACAAATATAATGAAATTAAGGACTTTGAAATTTTTTACATGATTAAGGCATTTAAAATGCACAAACGGAAAAAATCAAAAATTGCGTAAGCAAAGGTAACTGAAAATTACACAAACAATTTTACTGAACACATAGCTGCACATATCATTATTATGCACAGTGAATATTCACTATTCTTGGTTTTAGGTACTCTTTATCTATTCATAATTGCTGGATGTAAACAATGGAAAATGGCGTTGAGGATGCCATGTCTGTTTGTTTTTTATTTCTTTGTTAAAACTCAATCCGATTTCTAGCTTATGCCAATCAAACGAATGATGTGTTTTATTGTGAACTGTGTGGGAAAATTTTAAAGCTGTTTAGAGACATTGTGTTTTTCTTATCTTGACCGAGATTGTTGCCAAAATAAGGAAGTGTTATAAATTGTGGCAAGGAGGGAATAACATTTTTCAGTCAAGTCGTTTGTGCTATGAGAAGAAACAAAGTACATTATATATGATACATTGTACACTCTATTAAGAGACTCCAAACTAGTAATATTTAAAGAAGAAACACAAGAATGTAGGAGATACTTTGGCAAACTCTAAATTGATGAAAAATTCAAAGGTCAATACAACAATAAACAGTACAGCTGACCTTGATTATGATTTTGAAAATGTTGATAGAATAAATTACATTGTTTTTTTTTAAATTAATTTATTTATCTTTTTTAATAAACACTTTGACCTTGGAAAATTCCCTTACTTGTTAGGTACAGTTTTAATGGTAAATATAAATTTAAAAAACCAGAAGTCTCTGATGAGACTGTAGCTCTACCGGTTGTACTTATAAAGGAAGATAAAAGTAGCACTTGGACTTGAAACTTTGCAACAGCAATAAATAGAATAATGATCCTTGGTTTAGTCTGTTTTTGTGGCAAGATTTATTGCAATCAGAATAAAACTGTAGGAGGAGTAGCCTTTGAAAATGAGGAGTAGCCTTTGAAATAATTTTACAGAAATTTCGATTTAAGTAACCATGGCAACATCATTCAACAAAATCAAAAAGCAATAATGACAATTATGTATCTCAGTGTAGTCTACTTGTATGCCAAGTTATACTGAAATCAGACAAAACATGTAGGATGAGTAGCATTTTGAAAGTATTTCAAAAAATTTCTATTTTTAGTAACCATGGCAAAAACGTTCATCAAAATCCAACACTGGTACAGAGAATTATGTATCTTAGTAGAGTCTACTTGTGTGTCAAGTTATACTAAAATCAGACCAAAACTGTAGGAGGAGTACCATTTTGAAAGTATTTGAAGAAAATTTCTATTTTTAGTGACCATGGCAACAATGTTCACCGAAATCAAAAATGGATACAGAGAATTATATATCTTTGTGTTATCTACTTGTGTGCTTAGTTATATTGAAATGAGATCAAATCTGTAGGAGGAGTAGCATTTTGAATGTATTTCAAGGAAATTTCTATATTTAGTAACCATGGCAACACCGTTCAGCGAAATCAAAAACCGAAACATAGAAGTATGTATCTTAGTGTAGTCTACTTGTGTGCCAAGTTATAATGAAATCAGATCAAAACTATAGGAGGAGTAGCATTTTGAAAGTTTTTCACAGAAATTTCTATTTTTAGTAACCATGGCAACACTGTTCATTGAAATAAAATATCGATAAGAGAATTATGTATCTTAGTATAGTCTACTTGTGTGCCAATTTATACTGATATCAGACCAAAACTGTAAGAGGAGTAGCATTTTGAAAGTATTTCACAGAAATTTCTATTTTTAGTAACCATGGCAATATTGTTCAATGAAATCAAAAACAAATATACAGAATTATGTATCTTAGTGTAGTCTACTTGTGTGCCAAGTTATATTGAAATCAGACCAAAACTGTAGGAGGAGTAGCATTTTGAAAAATTGTTTACAGACGGACAGACAGCCAGACAGACAGACTGACGACGGACACCTTACTATCACATAAGCTCTTCTGGTCTCTGACCAGTAGAGCTAAAAATCCATTTACATCATTAAACAATTAATAAAGTGGTTTCTTGATGATAATTGTGGTGGATTTATTACTTATCATAATTTAAAGATATAAAACAGATCATCAACACTTCATGAGAATGCAGCAATGAATTTATTTTGTTGATCGGTTTCAACCAGAGACGGTTGTCATCAGAACAATCAAGCATGTAAATTTATCTATTGAAGTAAAAAATGTGGAAGAAGTTGCTACATGTATAAACAAAACAAGATGCCCAAGGGCCTTAACGGTCACCTGAGTATAATTCAATAACTTAGAGGATCCATAGAATATGAAATAAAATGGTAGA